TGCCTTTCCAGCTGGGGCTGCCGAGGACAACTTGCAGACGCACATGTAGCCCAAAAAATACTATATACATGTGTACTTTAACTGCCCTATAGCTGAAAAACTGCTACAATGCGGCACAAGTGCGCAAAATTGCATATATACGTGATTTCGCATTTTTGGGTAGGGGGCGTGTATGAACACTACCTGCGCGGCTGCCAATCACCGGGTCCCAGTCGGTGACTACTCGCCGGCGCCCGGTGATTGCCAAGCATCTCCGACAGGGAAGAGAACTGTTTGTAAACAAAGCAGTTGTCCTCCCTGCCAGCTTATGCAAACTGCTTTGAATGGCTGTGCACAGCCATCCAAAGCAGTGTTCTTAAAGTGAAGCACACAAACACAAGTAAATCAGCACACAGTAAACCTTTTGATCGCCCCTCATGTTAACCCTTTCCTGCCCAGTGCCATTAGTACAGTGTCAGTGCTTTTTTTTTTTTTTTTTTTTTTTTTAATAGCACTGATCACTGTATTGATGTCAGTGACACCAAGTCAGTTCCCCCCAGTGTCAGAATGCCTGCCGCAGTCCCGCTAAAAGGTGCGGATTACTAGTAGGGATAAACAAAATCCCAGTATCTATATCGCCATTTGTAAACGCTATAACTTTAACGTAAACCAATTAATTTACACGTGTTGAGAATTTTTTTTAGCAAAGACATGTAGCAGAATACATTTTGTCCTAAATTTTATGGGGGTGGGGCCAAGTTCCGTTGCCTGTGTATAAACGCAACCAGCGAGGCTCAGGAGCGAGCCTGCAAAAGTGTCCCCATAAAAAGTGGCTTTCTATGGGGGCACTTGCCAGTGAAGAGGAGCTAGGAGTGCCGGTGGGGGCCCTGAAAAAAGGAGATGCAGGGTCACTCTGTGCATTTCCAATACAAAAAGCAGGTAAGTATAAACCTGTTAAAAAAAAAAAAAATATATATATAATAAAATCACTTTTAAGATAACTGTACTTGTCCCATAGGTTTCCAGTTCCCTATTGTATAAATGGTATATTTGCCCTTTCCCGGGTCCAAGCTTCCTATTGTGGGTGGTATCTAACAGTACTGATCCTTTTAGAGTGGGCAAGATCTGTGCAGGCATTAGAATCAGTTCATGGCACTTTGTCCAATTATATCCTGCTTAGGCGAATATTGTTTCAGCATGTTCTTTTTAAACAATATGAAATGTACCACAAGCACTATTTTGTAATGTGTATGTACTGTAAGCAGAGCCAAGAAAATGTTGGTACAGCGTTACATCCATGGATAACACAAACAGGCCTCTTCCCAGTTTCTATGTTCATGTGGATCCCCACTCCCTGAGGGAGTATAAAAGTAAGCAGTTCATTAAAACATACACTGTACTGTGACACAACACTTTTCCTGTTTCCTCCCCTGTTGAGCTGGGTACCAGTTTCAGGACTGGCCTCCCACAAATCAGTCCATTTGATTTTGAAGGCTTTGCTAGTAAACAAGTCATATAACTTCTTCCATATTCAGCAGAGCAGTTGCCAGTACTTTCCCCAGTATATTTAGTCCTGTCCCCGTTAAAGGATAAGTTCACTACACACAGCCACATCATTCATTCACAGACTTCCGTGAATGAATGAACTGTAAGTCCCGACAGCTGTAGCTGCTGTCGCCTTGTAGTTTTCAATGAACTACCACAGCACTGTTGAGCACCGTAGTAGTTCATTGAAGCTTCTGTTAGAATATCTGCTTCACCATACAGCATACGTCCCATACAGCAAGCAGATATTCTGACAGGTCTGCAGGAGACTTGCATGACATCAGCGATCTACTGATTGCTGGTGCAATGCTATCCAGGTTCCTGAAGACAAAAATAATAAATGCACATTTTTTTACCTGCAAAAAATTGTGCATTTACTATTTTTGTCTAAAAGGTGAACTTATCCTTTAAGTCCTCATGCATCAGTACTCTTAGTCATTTTCCCAGCTGGGGAAATGCCAGTTACTTGCTGTATCACTCCATCTCTGAAGAGGACCCCACCTAGTACCACAGGAGCATCTCCTCTCTTCTCTAATCTCACCATATTGACTCGCTTTGCAACCCAACCCAATACTTTTATCTTGGGAAGGGTGCCACATAGTGACCAAACTAGGAACCAGTCTAGTGCCCCATTACATTTACTGCATGTTTAATGCAAACAAAGGTCCAGACCAGAAGGAAAGTACTGCAGCTAACCAGCAGCTGTCACAGAGCAGATTGGCACTGATGATCATATATCCAATGGTACTTTGCAGTCTGCAAGCAGTAAATCCTATACTAACTCTGAAAACTCCTCTCAGCATCTCTCTATATTCACATGGTATAGCAAATATGTCCCAGAATTTACGGAAGTAAAATTTCTCAAAGTAAGTTTAAAAACTTCAAGATCATTCAGATTAATAGAAGTTGACTATAAATAATTGAAAGGAAATGAATATAAAGTGTTGACCACAGATGCACTTTAACCCTGACTTGGGAAGGTTGCTGCCCCGTGTACATCTACAGTGCATCCAGAAAGCATTCACAGCGCTTAAACTTTTGCCACATTTTGTTATGTTACAGCCTTATTCCAAAATGGATTACATTATTTTTTTCCCTCAACATTCTACAAACAATACCCCATAGTGACAACATGAAAGAAGTGAAATGAATCAATCCATTTTGGAATAAGGCTGTAACATAACAAAACGTGGCAACAGTGAAGTGCTGTGAAAAGTTTCTGGGTGCACTGTAGGTCCAATGATCCCAGCAGTAAACACACAGTATAGCTTACTCAAACGTTGGTACACAATTAAGCAACATGTGAAGGATTACACATACACAGATAAATAATATTTTATTGTATTATGTTATTACATGTAGTTGAAATAAAAGTAAATACTCCTTTTTTATTATATAAATATATTTGCACTTTCATTGTTGGAAAAGCAAAATGTGACAGAAAACACACTGTTCAGAAGAAAACTGGTTTTGGACTCATTCACAGGGGCACACTGCTCAGTACAGCCATGCAGAGGGTCATGTTTATCTACCTGGGAGCCACAGGTGGTCCATGCAGCCAGCCTTTTAAAATCAAAAACAGAGCCTGTATTCAGAGCTGTGCATCAGTACTGCTCAGGTGTAAACTCCGGGCCCGTTCACACCAAACATGGCGCAGGAAAGGTGCACTCCATGCACCGCCCATGAACGCACGGTCCTTGTGAAATATGTGCAAGTGCCATTTCTTTTTTTAATGGCACCCCAAATGCATCTCGCAAACGTAGCACATTTATGACCACCAAACAGTATGGTATCGCAGTATCCTGTGGTTTAGTGCTGTGCGATTTGCGAAAGTAGTGCTTGAACTACTCTTTGCACATTCCAGTGCATTTTGCAGCCCATTCACATGAATGGGCTATCGAAACCAGACCACATGAAAATGGAAGCATTCCAGTGTTTACCAGCCCTTAAGGATGTTTGTGAAAGAGCCATGCAGCCCTTAGTCTGTCATTGATTTTTACAGGCTGGCTGCACAGACCACCTGTGCTTCCCGAGCAGCAAAAAAAACCCCACAAAACATGTACTGATTAGAGTGTCCTTGTGAATGAGTCCTTTGAGAAGAATACATGGAGTGCCATTTCATATGACAGTGTTAGCTACCCATTACACTAAGGCCCCTTTACACTGGTTTTCCCGCAGTGCAGTGTGCCCACAGGTTACCCGCTCTTTGCAATAGACTTACATTAAATCAGATGGCTTGGGTGCATTTGCTGAAAGCGCACCAAATGCAGGATTTTTTTGGACTTTCAGAAAACACACCAAAAAAGCTCAATCTAATGGATGTCTATACCAAAGTCCAAATAACCTGCATGACAACTGCAGGTACACCTCGCTGCACGGAAAATGCAGAGGAACAGTGTGAACAGGAACAGGCCTTATATTCTGTCTCCAAACTTGCTGACCTGGAATAAGTGTAGTTGGTGAAGTATGAATGTATACTTTTTCTCCACCAGTGGCTCAGAAGGTATCGGAATCACAGAATCATAATAGCCAAGCAAATTATTGAAGCAGGTCAGGAATGGCCACATACATATTTCTCTCACTACAGGTAATTGTAAACCTTTGTGCAATGTGTTTTTTTCTGGAGCATGTGCTGCAAGAAGTACATTTTGACAAATTGTATAATGCCCAACAAAGAATTCTAATGCATTATAAATAGTTGCATTTCTAATAAAGCTGAACTCCAGGCCAATATAAAAGAGAAAAAATAAATGGATTTGTCTTCATTAATACATCATTAAATACTTTTTTTTTTTTTTAAATGCACAGTTTTGGTACCTGAATCTGACTTGGTATTGCCACTTGCAAGTGCCATGTACAGCAGAGCTCTCACAGAGAAGCAGCACAAGGAGCCAGTTAAATGTGTTCAGTGCTCATGTGCCAACAAATGACACAGAAAGCAGCGTGATACAAACATGAACCTACAAGTCTACTGCTTATTCTTTACTGTCCAGTCACGGGCTGGGGGAGGGACTAGACTACTAAGTCTTACCTAACTGCAGCAGAGAAAAATTAGGTCTCCTCCCCTGCCAGCACAGCTGAGTAGAATTCAGAAATTGATAGAAATACAAATCTGTTGGCAGGTAAAAGTCCTTCTTTATATGTTTATCATCTGTGTAATTAGCTGTCTGCCTGGAGTTCAGCTTTAAACACCAAACTTTCTGCAATGGTTGATGGGTAACAGTATAATACTTTGCCACTGCCTATTCTGTTTTCCAAAGAACGTTTTGGGGCTGCGTATTTTCCGTCTTATGCAGATATTGATCACAAATCTACAGGTGATTTTTTATTTTTTGGGGAATTAATCAGGGATAGAATTGTCCTAATTAATTTTTGGAAATTCCAAGTTTTAGCGGTCTGGTTAACAGACCTCCCCTCCTTTGGGTCACGGGCCATTATGAATAAAGAATGTCTTTTGTGTGAAGGGGTATTATCCATCACGTGCTGGCTCGGGACACTAGAAAGTACAGCAAGAAGAACAATCCTACAAGACCAGCCGAAACATAACACAAGAGCTTGCGATTATCTCTTCCAGAACGAGCCATTCCTGTGAACCGCTTGACACTGCCACTCAAAAGTCCAGTCACACTCATGAAGTCTGAATCCTGAAAGAGAAAAAGGATACTTTTTTTTTTTTTTTTTTTTAAACTTTCTTTGTTGTAGATAATCTGGACACACCAGCTGACAGAGAAAAAACAACAAACAAAATAATCAGGGTATACAGATAATAATGAAACCTAAATGTAAAAAATAATTGACTGGATATCTACTTTCAACTGATAAGAACACATTTAAAGAGATATTAAAAAGGTTTGCTTTTTTTTTTTTTTTAAATAAATAACAAATATGTTGTACTAACCTGATCTGTACAGTGGTTTTGCACAGAGCAGCCCAGTCCTCTTCAGCTCAGGTCCCCCACCGGTGCTCTTCTCTCCTCCCTCTTGACCAATGCCCCCAATGGCAAGTCGCTTGCTATAGGGGCACTGGTGCATGTATGCTCCTGCGCCCTGCTCTGTGTCCATAAGACACAGAGCTGTGGCTCGGCCCCGCCCCCTGCTCTCTCCTCATTGGCTGTGATTGACAGCAGTGGGAACTAATGGCTCCCACTGTTGTCCCAGCCAATGAGAAGAAGTACCCGGAAAGCCATCGCTGGATGGCAAGGGGGCTCAGGTGAGTATTTGGGGGCGCTGCTGAACATAGAACGCAAGAAGGTAAAAAACCTTCAGCCTTTACTACTGCTTTAAAGCCTTAGGCCCCTTTCACACAGGCATTAAGTCTAGATCCATCTGTCAGTTTTCCGGTGAATCCAGACTGAACCACAATGTATGTTGATGTGTGGGCAGATGTAAACAGATGATCATTCGTTTACATCAGCCTACATCCATGTCCGTCCAGGTCTGTTTTTTTGTTGTTAATGGAAGAAAGTTGCATCCTTTTCTGTGTAAAAGAATCTGAACGAATGTAATTGGGTGCTGTCCGTTTTCAGACAAAAAACATTTTTTGTTTATATTTGGTCTATGCAACAACTAGAAAAAACAAGTGTAAACTGAAGATGGATGTGCAATCTGATTTAAATGGAATCAATTTTTCTATTTGAAAAACGTGACTGAACAGATGACGCCTGTGTGAAAGAGGGCTGCTTTCACGCTGCTCCATTGAAAACAAACGCGGTAAAAACACATATGCATTTTTGCCGCGTTGCCCAATATCAGCATGCACCTGTGAAACATGAACATGCAACTAAAAAACGCACCAAAAGCAACCTCAGGTGCATTTTTGATGCTTTTTCAATGGGGAGGTGCGTTTGATGCAGTTTTAAACGCACCAAAAATGCAGCAAGCGGGACTTTTAAAACCCCAAATGAACGGTGTGTAGAGTTCCATCGGTTCGAAATGGATGCAGATTTCCCTTCACTTCCTGATCCACATTCATACATACAAAACAGGAATCAAGAAGAAATCCCTGCAAGATATGGCTGCATACTATTACAAACTGTGAAGTGTGTACCTGCTTTTAATTGCACACATAATTGTGTGTTTGCTGTATATAATTTGCCATTTCATTCAACTTCCTCAGATGAGTAGAACAGCAGCCTGCTGCATCTACTATGCACCCTGGGAAAAGCAGCTCTGCAACCTACATGTTTAATCTGATATCATGAATGTCGCTCACTCCTTTACATGGGAGGACATTTTTGAGGTCTTATTATTTATTTATTTCAGGTACTTATATAGCACCATCAATTTATGCAGTGCTTTACATATATATATATTGTACATTCACATCAGTCCCTAACCCTTAAGGAGTGTACAATCTAAGGTCCCTAACTCACATCCATACATACACATACTAGAGCCAGTTTAGACAGGAGCCAATTCACATACCAGCATGTCTTTGGAGTGTCGGAGGAAACCGGAGTACCCGGAGGAAACCCACGCAGGAACAGGGAGAACATGCAAACTCCAGGCAGGTGGTGCCGTGGTTGGGATTCGAACCAACGACCCTAGTACAGCCAGGCAGAAGTGCTAACCATTTAGCCACTGTGCTGCCCGTTATCCATTTGTGATAACAGGACTAGGGTTGTAACTGCCCAACTATATCCATAGCCTGAGTTTTGTTGAAGAAGGTGAAATGGTTTCCTGGTAACACAAGTTGCTGACAGTAAAAAGTACGCTGAAGATCACGATCTTACCATTCCATCCAAATACGTGTTATGGTCATCAGCTTCTCTGTCAATATCCAATGCAAGCTGAAAAGCAATAGATATTTTAGAGATTTTACATTGTGCTTTTTATAAGGATGCCAATGAGATACATGTATAAAAGGTGGCCTAATTGTTTTCGCCGTTTCAACTATATCCGGCGGCGATATGGTAAAAATGGTGGAATGGAAAAAAATAAACACACCGCCTTCTGAAAGTCCCTTTTTCTGTTTCTTCCTGAAATACATCTGATCACACTGTGGCTGTTTTACTAAAAACCAGAAAGTGCAAAATATGATGCAGCTGTGCAAGGAAGCCAATCAGCTTCTAACTTCAGCTTTTTCAATTAAGCTTGAAGCCGATTGGTTTCTATGCAGAGCTCCACCACATTTTCACTCTCCAGTTTTAGTAAAACAAAAGTTTTTAGAAAATGAAATCAGTTAATTTGTATACTTAGGTGAAAGTGATTGTAAAGCTTTTTTTTTTTTTTTTTCTTTACAATCTCTCTTTAAAAACCCTTGTCATACTTATCTGCTCTTTTGCAAAGAGCAGCCCCAATCCTCCTCTTCTTGGGTCCCATGCAGGTCCACTTAGCTCCTCCTTCCTTCTGAGTGCCCTCAAAAGGGAGCCGCTTCCTATGGAAGCACTCGTGCATGTCCGATCCCAAGCCAGGCTGTTTGAGTCTATTCAGATGCACGGCCTGGCTCAGACCTGACCACCGCACTCTGCTCACATTAGCCACAGAGCCATTAGCTCCTGCTGCTCTCAGCCAAGCCAGGGAGAGGGGAGAAGATCTGCTACACACATGCACAATGCTTAAGCGGTTTAGGGGTATGCTACCATTAAAAGGTTTGTTTACCTTAATGCAGAGAATGCATTAACACCTTTGTGCCAGCACCTCCCAGCCCTTTAACAGGTTTTTGATGCCTGGAGGCAGGGGTTTGTGATAATGTGACCGCCATGATTGGCGGTCACACGATTTGAAAAGCTTCCAATAGCAAGTAGAGATCATGAGCTTTCCATTAGCCACTGGTGCGTGCCCTTGACAGTTTTTTGGGGTGCACACATGTGTCCTCTCAGCATTAAGGCCCACCCACTGAGAGGCTGTATATATGCATGCGGTCAGCAGCAAGGAGTTAAGGTCAAAAATTCTTTTACAGAAGCAATTTTATAAATAGCAGACTTCACAGGAGAAAAAAAACAGAAAAAAAAAAAAAAAAAAAAAAACTTAATGAGGGGTGAAATTTTTTTTTTATTAGGTTAAACAGGCACGTAAAAAGGTAAGTCTGGAGTGACTTATCTCCCTTTTTATCAGATTTTGTTATGACATTTTGTTGTCACCAGGCCCACTGGGAATGGTTTACAAAAACTGAAGCAAATAAAGCGAATACAGATGTCTAAAGCATTTAGATTGCTTTCTTCAACTGAAACCTCATTGCCTGCTGTGTTTTATACTGTTGTGAGGAATCAGTCATATGATTTGACTTTTTCAAATCAGCTTGTTGAGCTGTATAGTGCAAATAGAAGCAGCAGAAATGATCTGAAATTGAGCAGTGTGTGACCCTGTCAGCATCAAAATTATTGACCAAACAATGACTGCATCTTATAAAGTCAGAGGAGATTCCTCCATACATGTTACATTTATTTGATTTCTTTCATTTATCCTGTAGGCTGAAGAGAATGTACAGCTAGCATTACATTAAGTATACAGTGAATTTTCTACACATGCACACTCACAGATTTGAGCCGTGTTACTTTTGTAGAAAGATTATCTGCAAGACGTTTGTTTTCTGTATCAAGCATCTCATCTACCGCCCCAGAACTTGAACCTATAGAGATATAGGAATAAAATAAAAAAAAGATAAACATTACAGGAAAACAGAAGGTGATAAAGATAATACAGAGATGTTTTGATAAATATACATGAGTTCAGAAATTTGACTGGTTCAGCAGGGACTGGACGATATTTGACCCATATATGAGCACGGAGGTTGTACAGAAGTTGATCTACTGATTGACTTCTGTACAACCAGCCTGTCAGATATTCCCTGCTCAATTAGCACTGCCGGCTATAGCCAGCAGCACTGACAAGTGTATTCTGACAGAGGGGAAGTCTCGTAGCCATAAGCAAAACAGAAATGAGAGGAAATCTCATCAAAGTGAGGAAATACCTGGTTGTTAGGGACAGTTCTTAGCACTCTTCCAAACATGAGTCCCAAAGGAGAACTAAACCCAAGATCTATTTCAGCTTACCTGTCGTTAGTTATGATGGCTGCATTTAGTTTTCTTTTTTCAAACCAAGGCTGCCCATAGAAGGGTTTTTATTTTTTTTTAAAGAAAAAAAAAAAAAAGGAACAGATTCACCCATCCCTACAAGTGAGGGGGATGAAATAATTCTACCCGCAGTGCCATTTAATTCTGACAGTAGAGACTCCTCCTCTGTCAAAATACACTGATCAGCACTGCAGACGCTGATCGAATTAAAATGTTCCAACGTTCCTAATCAAAAGAAGTTGATTGCTAGATCAACTTCCGTCAAGCGGGAACAACCATAGAAAAAATCTAAATTTGGCCAGTAGCTACCGAACTTGGCGGATTTCCAATCCATCTATGAGTATCTTAACCATTAGCCGCCTGGCTTATAGCCGTTTGGCGGCTGCAAAAATGCTGTAGCTTTCCGGGGTATACGCCACATGCGAGGTTGAAGAGCGGCGCGATCTGTCACCGGCCGTGTACCTCAGACACGGCCGATGACAGATCTGAGTACCAGCCCCCATTGCCGGTACCATGTGACCTGCTGTGACCAATCACAGCAGGTCACATGACAGTTGTATACAATGGATTGCTTCATTCATGCCATTCATTGTATACGAGTGCCTAGCTGTGAATGGTCACAGCAGGTCACATGCACATTATGTGATTAGCTGTGGCCAAATCACAGCTAAGCACAAAAAAAAAAAAAAAAAAAAAAACCTGAATGAATCGATGTCATTCAGGTAAATGCTTGCTTATAGCAAAGTAATTCTTTACTATAAGCAAATTGTGTTAAAAAAAAAATACTGATCAGTTCCCCAAAGTAGTACAATGTTACTATGGTAACATTGTACTACTTTGGTCATAGTAAAATATGAAATATAAATCTTAAAAAAAAAAAAATATATATATATATATATATATATATATATATATATATATTTTATTTATTTATTTTTTTCATACTGTCACCAGTCAAAAAAAAAAAAAAAAAAATAGTGAAAATAATTTTTTACATTTTTTCATTTTCCGAAAAATTATGAAAAAAAAAATACAACTTCAAAAAACTCGCAATTCCTCTTATGAAGTACGTCCGACTGTCTACTCTGCAAAAAGGGGTCATTTGGGGGATATCTGTACTATTCTGACTTTCTTGGACCTCAAGAAATTAGATTGGCAGTCAGTACTTCAGGACTGATCAATTTTCAGATCTATACCATAGTTTGTGAACTCTATAACTTTCCTACAAACTAAATAATACATCCTAATTTGGGTTATTTTCACCAAAGACATGTAGTAGAATACATCTCGGCCTAAATTTATGAAGAACAATTATTTATTTGTAAACTTTTATAACAGAAACAAAGAAAAAACGTGTTTTTTTTTTTCCAAAATTTTTGGTCTTTTTTTTTTTGTTAATTTAGCAAAAAATAAAAACCCCAGCGGTGATTAAATACCACCAAAAGAAAGCTCTAGTTGTGTGAAGAAAATTATAAAATTTTAGTTTGGGTACAGTGTTGTATGAAGCGCAATTGTCATTCAAAGTGTGAGAGCGCTGAAACGTGAAAACTGGCCTGGGCAGGAAGGGGGTAAAATTGCCCGGTATTGAAATGGGTTAAAGATGGATATATACAGAGGCTGATTTACTACAACTGAAGAGTGCAAAATCTAGTGCAGCTCTGCATAGAAACCAATCAGCTTCCAGGTGTTTTTTTTTTTTTTTTTTCAATTGGTGATGTGGATGCAGTTATCTCCCCTGCTGTGTTATTGTACTCTGACAACAGGGACTTTCCTTCATCAAAATACATTGTTCAGCGCACTGGCTGAATAAGCTGATTTAATGTTGGTTTTCCAAAAGGACCACTGGACAGATGCCAGCCTAAGGACCAGCTTGTTCAATCAGTAATGTGGATGCGGGAATCTCCCCTCCTATGTTATTGTATTCTGACAGCAGGGACTTTCCTCCATCAAAATACATTGATCAGCACACTGACTGAATACGCCGATTTAATGTTGGTTTTCCAAAAGGACCATTCGACAGATGCCAGCCTAATGACAGGCTTCTGTTGAACAGACGGGTAGACAGACTGAAATTCTGCCAGTTCCTACTGAACCAACCAAGTTTTGATACATGTATACCATGCTTTAGACCTAAACAGTATAAGATTGGAATGGGGCTTTGAAGTGGAACATTAAAAAAAAAAAAAAAAAAATATATATACACACACACACACACACACACACACACACACACACACACACACACATATATACACACACAGTTCAAAATAATAGCAGTCAGACATCACTAACCTAATCAATCACTGTTTTTGGTAGAAATTATATTTCTACATGGCAAATAATTTACTAGCAGGTGTAGTAGAGTAATAGAAATCCAACAGACCCAACAGTCATGACATGCATGCTGCTGATTCTGTGTAATTGAATCACTAATTGAAAGGGACATGTTCAAAATAATAGCAGTGTGGAGTTCTATTAGTGAGGCCATTCATTCTTTGAAAAACAGGCGGCAATTATTGCCCTTATTTAAGGAAGGAAGGCAGCAAATGTTGTACATGCTGGTTACAGTGCATTTCTCTCTGAAATTCTGAGGAAAATGGGTCGTTCCAGACATTGTTCAGAAGAAGTACCTTCATTAAAAAGTTGATTGGAGAGGGGAAAACATATAAAAGAAGTGCAGAAAATGATAGGCTGCTCAACTAAAATGATCACAAATGCTTTAAAATGGCAACCAAAACCTGAAAGACGTGGAAGAAAGCGAAAAAACTACCATTCGAATGGATAGAAGAATAGCCAAAATGGCACGGACTCCGCCAACAATCAGCTCCAGGAAGATCAAAGAAGGTCTAAAGTTACCTGTGAGTACTGTTACAATTAGAAGACGCCTATGGGAAGCCATGTTAGTTTGTTATAAAATTTTGTAAATAAGCACTTTTTCTCCATCACTGATGTGCGCTAATGAGGCTGCAGTGATGGGCACTGACAGGCATCACTGCTGGGCACTGAAAGGCAGCTCTGATAAGTGGCTTTGATGTGCAATGACAGGTGGCAATTATGGGGCTACACTAATCAGAGCACATGTCCCCTCTGAGGAATGCAGCTTACTGGCTCTTCTCTCCTCACATGCTGTCAGTGTGAGGAGAGGACTGCCGATAACCAGCATTTCCTATTTACATGCAATTAGCTGTGATTGGACACAGCCGATCACATGACAGAGCCTACATCATCAGCTCTTTACTGCAATTGGTGATCCGCTGTGTCCCAGAGACACAGCGCACCACCAATCACCGCACACCCCCAGGGGCGGGCATGCACAGCTAGAGTGGGAGGACATCATAGGACGTCCTTCCAGAATGAGAGAACTGCCGCCCTCCTGTCATTTCCTTATATGGCAGGCAGGAGGTGGTTAAGGTTTGGCAATAAAACCTGGAAACCGATTGGTTTCTATGCAGAATTGCATCAGATTTTGCACTCTCCAGCTTTAGTAAATAGCCTCCAATGTGTGAAAAGAGCCTTGACCACAGTGACAAGTAAATTTGAAGGAGCAGATGAATACCTCTAACAATGAATGTAGTTTTTGGTCCCTATTCAAAATTTGAACATTCGTGAATCACTGAATTTAAAAGATTTTTTTATGAAAATCTGCTAGCGTATGGCATTCTGTAACAGTGCGCAAGTATAACAAAATCTTCCTGCTCTCTCCTCATCATATTACGGCACCGCCCCTCTCTGAATGACACCAAGAACTCTCACTCCTTACCTTGCAAATGGGGTCACACATTCTGTACGATAATCTCTTCCTAACACCAGAACTACACAAAGGGGTTTATTTCACTCAGAATCTTGTACACTTCTGCATGGAAACCAATCCGTTTTAAAGTTTTACTGCTAAAGCGCAATTGAACAAGCCGAGGTTAAAAGCTGATTGGCTACCATGCACAGCAGCACAAGATTCTGAGTAAAACAGCCTTAGTAAATCTCCCCCCACTCTGTTTGACCTGTCGCACTTGGCTCAGCCAGCATAAAGCCAGCCATAGATGGATCCAATCTCAGCCGATTCAGCAGGGACTGGCCAAGACAATCTATGTGCATGGTGATTGTACCCAAGTCAATCCCATCAACTTGGGTACAAGACTGTTGGATATCTAGCATGCGATTACTGCCTGTGGCTCACCAAGCACAATGAAAAGCATTGGATGCAGTGGTGTAAAGCATGGCGCCACTGGACTCTAGAGCAGCGGAGATGTGTTCTCTGGAGTGACGAATCACACTTCTCTTTCTGGCAACCCAATGGACATGTCTGGGTTTGCCGGCTGCCAGGAGAACAGTACTTGCCTGACTGCATTGTGCCAAGTGTAAAGTTTTGGTGGAGGGGGGATTATGGTGTGGGGTTTGTTTTTCAGGGGTTGGGCTTGGCCCCTTAGTTCCAGTGAAGGGAACTCTTAAGGTGTCAGCATACCAAGAGATTTTGGACAATTTCATGCTCCCAACTTTGTGAGAACAGTTTGGGGATGGCCCCTTCCTGTTCC